CAGAAGTAGAAACCAATACTTACGTGGGTTGCATTTCTCCTCTGGGTTACCTGGAGCTGCTGCGTTAGCTTGTTCGTCTGTCAGTTCTCAGTTCGCCCCCTTGGATTCGGACAGAGTGCCATGGGCATGGTGGGTAGTAGGCCAGTAATCTGTCCTGTCTCATCACTGAAATCCCCGAGGACAGGCGGCTTCAACTACTTCAGTTCTGTATGATTAGAATATGGGGAAGAAGCCTGGCTTTACCACCACTCCAGGTTTTCTTTCTGTGTGATTCTGGGATAGTGGAAAGTAAATAAATTCACTCTTGCTACACTCGTTGGATGAAAGCATAGCTGAGGGAAGTGGGGTGGTATGGAAGACACCCCAGACTAGAAAACAAATCCTTGTGTCCCCACCTCAGTTCAGTCACTGTCCATTGTAGGATATTTCAATTTTGAACTCCCTTTGCATCAGCAGCATAACGGTGATGTTATAGCCAAAACATTTTTAAAAATCAACTCTTGACTTCAATATAACACTGAATGCATGAGGGCATCCTCACACAGTTGATCACTGCTGCTGTGGGGGTCTGAGTGCTTTGGAAGGAAGGGAAGGTTCTGACTCCCACTCTTGATTTTTTTCAGACAAGACCTGTAGCATTACATTTTGGCGACTGTTTTCTCATCTTTGAACAATACACTTCCACCAAATCAAGTGAATTTTTAGTTTAGATGTTACTAAACATTGTGAATCATAGCACTTCAGAGCTGAGGAATTAGTTGCTAATAAAGTGGGCTTAGGGAATTTGTACTGGTTGCTATGCCTAGGTGAACATTTATGACATAGGTTTAGTGGTTTTATCAACATTTCCTGATTTTCTTCTGCATTCCAAATAATCAGCAGCATGAGGGCATAAAAGTTATGAAAGGCATACCTTCTCTTAACAATCCCGTGTTTTAAGTTGGCTTTCAGAGCAGCCGAGGCTAAGACAGAAGGTCTTGTGCCAGGGACTTACTAAGGAAGAGCTTTCATGAGAGCCCTTACTGACTCACTGCTGTAGACTCAGTTCCACCACTTGTCTGTCGGTTTGTCATACTGCGTGTGCGTTGCTGCGATGCTGGGAGCTCTGTCGCTGGTATTTCCAATGCCCAGGCCACCCGAAGTGAACAGGTTTCCTCAGAGTTTCTAGACGAAGAACAGACTATCAAGCAGGAATAGGCCGTTCATTCCGAAGGAACAAGCCACTGAAAACCTTGTGGATAGCATTGGAACCTTGTCCGATACCGAAAGCCTCTCAAACAGCATCAGAGCTTTGCTAGAGATCCTGCCAGAAGATAAACTGCAAGCCCTCAACCATGAGGGTGAGCTGCCTTCTCAAAGTGGACTCAACCACTGACGTGGACGGCGTAAAGTCTGTGGGATATTCATGTGCTGATGGGCACAACTCAAACTGAGTAGAAACAGCTGCAAACATCTATTAAAAATCAGAATTTGGTTTGTACATGAACCTACAAACATTGGAAGTTGTCAAAAGACTAAATTGAGCACAGGAAGATGAATATTTTGGATGCTAGTGAGATGAAATTGACTGGTATCGGCCATCTTGAATTTGATTAGTAAGCTTTACTAAGTAAGTCATATGATTTACTAAGGATGACAGGTTTAAAAGGGATGGCGTCACAGTCATCATCAAAAAGGAACAATTCAAGATTTACCTTTAAGTACAGTGTTATCTGTGATAAGATGTTATCTTCCCACATACAACCAAATGCAATCTTTATAAATATTATTCAAATGTACGCACCCACCAGTAAAGCTAGTGATGTTAAAATTTAATAATTCTACCACGGTCTTCAGTCTGAAATCGATCGAACATGCCACCCAGGTGCATGGAAGGTGTTAGTGACTAGAATGCAAAAGCAGGAAACAAAGAAGAAGGAGCAACGTTGGAAAATCTGGTTTTGGGGGAGAAATGAAGCTGGAGCTTTTTGCAAGACCAACACCTGCTTCCCTCTACTCGTCTGTCAGTTTGCTGTACTGTGGTGGCTTGTGTGTTGCTGAAAACTATGTCACTGGCATGTCAAATGCCAGTCGGGTCACACAAAAGGAACAGGTTTCAGTGAAGCTTTCAGACTAAGAGGTGACAATGAGAGAAACACCGCTCCCCACGTCAGAAGGAGGAGTCGCTGAAAGTCTTATGTGTACCTTCCAAACATTGCCAGCTACTGAAGGCCTAACGAATGGAAGCAGAAACATCAGAGATAGTGCCAGAGGAAGGGCCTCTGGGGTCAGAGGGCACTCAAAATGTGATTGAGGAGGCACCGATTTATCAGAGTGGAGTCCACCGTGGTGCTGTGAGTCGGATCACGCGTGTGAGAGTGGAGCCTTCTGAATCTTCATTTCCTGAGGGGACATGCCTCAAGGGACAGAGAAGCAGCTGCAAAACTCTGCCTGTGATCAGAACTAGGAACATGTGAAGTATGAATCCAGGAAAATTGGATGTCATCAAAAAGAACATGGAATGCATAAAAACCACTATCCGAGGCATTGGTGAGCTGACATGGACTGGTATCGGTCATCTTGAATCAGAAAAATCATATGCTTTACTATGCCGGGAATAACGACATCAAAGGGAATGGTGCTGCGTTCATTGTCAAAAAGGGCATTGTAAAATCAATCCTGAAATACAATGCTGTCTGTCATAGGATCGTATCTATTCTCCTTCAAGGTAATGCCATCAACACAGCTACTATTCAAATTTATGAAGCAACTACAAAAGGTAGTGATGAAGAAAATGAAGAATTCTACCAACAACTTCAGCCTGAAATTGATTTAGAACGTGCAATCAAGATGCATTGATAATTACTGGAGATTAGAGTGCAAACGTTGGAAGCAAAGAGCAAGTAATAGTAGTTGGAATTGTCAAAGATTTCTTCTTGCTTGTATCTACGATCCATGCTCGTGGAAGTAGCAGTCAAGAAATCAATTGTGGACTGGTGTTGGACATATGGGTTAATGGGTTAATGTTGGACTTGTAGGCTTGGGCAGCACTGGGTTGGGATGTTTTCTTGATGCACACTTAACCTTTATATAAAACTCTCTTTTATATATGAGGTTCTATGGATTTGTTTCTCTCAAGTACCCAGAATAACGCAGATTTCTTTAAGTTGCTTAGATAATGAGAATAGAATTAATAATGGGTTCTTCAATATTAAATAATAATTATACAGGACGAAATACCTATTTATTATCATATCATTTCTTAATATAAATAACACAGTATCCAAAACAAAAAGCATAGGAAACATACAGCTCAGGCACCCATAGGTCCATTTTACCTCCATGATCGCATAGGCAGGCATTGGCTCCTAAAAATATGCAGCAGCACCTCTTTTTCAGAAGTGAACAGACTATTATGAATTTGGGAAGGGAAATTAATTTTTTCAAAAGCTTTAAAAATGAAAATGTGATACAAATACAATGAAGTAATCATTGGTATATTTTCAACAGTATTTTTCTTCCGATCTTCAATGTTACTCTGCTCTTTGAAGTCACTGAACATGCCTATTTCTATAAAAACACTTCATTGTAAAAATTGAATTAGTTTAACACCCTATCATTTAATCCCTTTTGATCCCTTTTTACTTTTTTTCTAGTTTTTAATATTTTCTGCTCTCTTTTCTACTGAGGTTTTATTTGCTTTACTTTGTTATTGGTTTGGTTTTTTTTTTTTTTTGTATAGGGAACTCTATCAAGACAGTAATTCGATTAATGGTTTCTTAGGGGTATGGCAAGGGAGGTTGGGGAAAATGGGGAGCTAATAGCGATAAGTACAAGGAGAGGAAAATGTTCTAAAGTTGATTGTGGTAATGATTGTGCAACTTTTCTTGATGTGATTGACCTATGGAATTTCATATGCCAATAAAAGTATTTTAAAAATTGAGCCAGGATATAAAAGGGTAAAAGAGGAAATCAACAGAAGAAAGGCTGCAGGTGTGATGCCATGTAGATACAATAAGATATCGTGTGGGGTAACCTGGCACGCAGCAACAGCAACCACGCCCACCCCACCGCCCCTCCCACTGCTGGGTCGCCTTCTTCCTTGCTCAGTGATCTCTTCGAGGACAGAGCAAAATGTGTATTCTAGTTGAATTAGCTTGTTGGACATTGGTGGTTCAAGTTAACTTTCTATAGCCCCTTTAAACATCTACATTCGTTCATCATGTTATTCAATTCATTGTGATAGTTACAAATCCCAGGTATTGCTTATAGAAATACTTCTAAGTAGTAACTTATTTCAGGTCCACAGAGTTCTTTGCTCACTATGTTTAGTATTTCAATTTGTTTTTTGTCGTGAATTTATAGTGACTTTTTATATGGTTTCCTGTTCATACCAAGGATCTCTGTTGGTGCCATATCCAGCTACCCACCCAATGGGAGTCAGCTATGGCCCTCTGTTTCTGCAAATATTGACACCTGTGGAAATCCTATGGGCCAAGTCTACTCTGTAGGGTCTCTATCAGCAACAGGTTTGGGGTTAATACCTGATTAAATACTCCAGGGATTTAGATAAGAAGTAGGCAGTCCTTAGAATGACCTCAAAATAATTTAACTAGCATACGTTACATGGCAGAGGACTTTGTGGTTGAGGAATGAAGGTTAAAGACCCCAAATTTTGACACCGTACTTTAGAACAGGGAAAAGAACAGCTTTAGGTATTTAAGATGCACACTAACTCACTAACTAAACTGACCCTTCCCTAGACACATACTGTTAGGGGTTTAGGATCAAATGCTTGATATAATCTTATTAGTGAAGATTATGAAAACACTTTAAACTCCCAAGGCTAGTGTTCAGTGTGATGATGTTCAGAGGGCATTCATGAGAATAGAAATTTAAAAACAAACAAGCAAACTGCTTATTTTGTAAGTCAAGAGTTGAGGGAAGGTTTTTTGTTTTTTAAATATTGGCCTGCAAGTTCCGGTGTGTACGTTAACTTTGAACGTTTTTAGCAGATAAATATGCCAGTGATCAACATTGAGGACCTGACAGAAAAGGACAGAATGAAGATGGAAGTTGATCAGCTCAAGAAAGAAGTGACCCTGGAAAGAATGCTGGTAAATTGTTGCTTCTTCTGAATTTTCTTTTAAATTAGAGCTTCTGGGGGAACCTCAAGTTAGCTGAGTCACTGAAGATGCTCAGTGTGGCAAAAATAAAGGGTCCGGTAAGAATTCATTTTAATTAAGCATCAGCATGATCTTAACCTAGAGTCTAAATCAAGGAGTTGAAAAACGATTACTCTCCAGACAATTGCAGCCCTTGTCTTGTTTTTGCTTGACCGTTTAGCAAAGAACACCTTCATATTTTCCAGCGAGTATTTTAAAATCAAAGGTAGGGGAGAGGGAAAGAGAGAGAGCAGGGTGGGGGTGGGACACACAGGACTATGATGCAAAAGTCATATTTTAACCAAGTAATAAAATAAAGCAATGCATATAGGCATTTTGCTTTTACTTCTTGATGTTGATAAGCTTCTTATTTGATGAAATATTTTGGTATTGTTCACATCCTTTTAGCCGGGACCTCGTCCTCCCAGTGTTGCTATGGCCAGTGATGAATGAGTCCGTTCGGTTCTTCCTTCGCACTCAAACACAGAACTCACCGTCTCTCCTAAAAACATCTGACAGATCTTAGAAATGGTTGTCATAAAAATTCCCGGCAGAAAAATAGTGGCTGGAAATTGGAAAATGTCTCTTCATATGAGGAAAGTTAATAGAACAAAAATCCCTCTATAAATGATAAAGGAATATTTCATAATTTAAAAAAGATCAGTTAACCTGTCCAAAGTGAACAAGTGAATTTTTAAACTGTATACTTGTTTCCAAACTCCTGCTCCCAATTAGAATGAGAACTTGGGGTTTTCTTAAGTTTACAAATGTAACACTAGACCCTGGTGCCATAGCAGTTACACCTTGGGCCGCTAACTGCCAGGTCAATAGTTCAAAACCACCAGCCACTGTGTGTGAGTAAGACAGGGTACCGTCTCAGAAACTCATGCGGGCATTTCTACCCTGTCTGTGGGCTCACTGTGCACTGGCATTGACTTCACTGTCGTGAGTTTATTTTTGTTTTAGTTTCACTTAGCCATGGTCTGAAACTTTCCTGCTACCCGATCCATAAGAACTGGGACACACACACACACACACACACACACACACACACACACACACACCCTTTAAAGAGACCGTTGGTTTCCTCTTCTTTTCTTCAAACACTGAGAAGCTGTCTTATGACTTACAACCCTGGATTGCTGTTGTTCAGGCAGCTTGGTTGTCATTGTGTTTATTATTCACTGTGATTAGCTTCCACTGGGATTTTTATTTTGGATAAATATCATATCATCCTCTCTTGGACTATTGGAGTTGTTTTCTCCATTTCTCAACTGCCTCCACACTCGAACACCAAACTATTTTTAATATCTTCGTGCAAAACTATAATTAAGAAAACCAAGTTATGTAGTAAATACCTGTGAGCCCCAACTAGGTGCTCAAAGTGAGATAAACATGGTGGGGTGTGGGGGGCTGGAGGCAAGGCTATGATAAGCAATACGGTTGCAGTTCATTCGCAAGCCAATCCACATTGTTTGATGGTGAGTTAGAAGTTTGAGGGATGTAAGTAGTAGACCCTTACTCCCAACTACGAGAGGAAAATGTGAATCATGATTGAGTCTGGAGATTGAAAAGGTCAGATAATCCAGAAATGATGGCCACATTGAGTGGAAGGTGGTGTGCACACCTGTCTTCTCCAGTGTGCGACTCGCAGTGAGCCTTTTCCTTTTACTGTTCCAAGTATAGAGACAGAGACTAACTAACGTCTGCTTTCCGGTTGTGTAGGGCTCCCAGACTCTTCTGATCACAGCCTGCCTCTGGGAAAGCCAACCTTCTACTGATTCTTGTATCTGGGACAGAAACTAAAAAATTCACTGCCGTCAGTTAAATTCTAACACACGGTGAGGCAATGGCCCTGGTGGCACAGCAGATTGAGCACTGCTCTGTTAGCCACAAAGTCAGTGTGATGAGTCCTGACATACAGGTGAGGACAAAACAGTTGGCATCTGGCACAGCTGGCGTGGGAAGAGGCAAATCTAAATTACTGTACATTTTGTAAGTGGATATAAATCAGAAAGTCTTATCATAGGACCAATCTTTCTCTGACCTAGCTAAAAATTATTTGTTCTGATAACTACACAATGAACTGCGGCATTGAAATATAACTTAAGAACTATTGGTATGGTATGTAAAAAATAAAATCTTAAAGGCCTAAAATATTTGGAATTCGCTTAACAAAAAAAGTGAAGATGTAAAAAAGTAAACAGTAAGCTGGAAAATGTGGTAGTTCTGTGTTATTTACATAAAAGATATGTTAAGTGAAAACAAAGGAGATTGAAAAAATATAAAAATTTTGATTCCTTGTGTGTGTGTGTAATGTTTCTTCTCTCTAAAGGAGTGTTAAGGGACAGGCTCAGAGTTGAATAAGACTTAAAGCTTGACTTTTTGAAAAAGAATTATTATTCTGGTGTAGATGTGGGAAGAGGAAACAATAAACAAATGAATGATTCAGTTCCAGCAATGTTTGTTTACTAAGATTCAGGTGCCTGGGATAAGTCAACCAAAGGTCCCACTTGGTAGTGCATTGTTATTATTAATCATTGTATGGAAGTTTAAAATGAAATTACATATGTATACTTCTTAGATTCCAGGGGGGTTGATAAGTCTGAAATATAAAACATGCACATATGACCTAGAGAAAGAAAATGAGTTTTAGAAGATATTTGCTGGGGTTGACCCTCAGGTAGTCTCTGAAAAAGTATATGAATCCTTTCATGCTGTTTTCTCATCTAGAAAATGAGACAAATAATAATGTATTTTCAGGTAGTTGTGACAATTAGAGAGAGAATATGTAATATGTGCACAATAAAAGCATTTATTGTTACTACTACTTTTGTATTCCCCATATAATATGGTACATATTCTGTAGATGTTCAAAGAACATCTTTTGAGTGAATAAATATATTATAGTAGTTCTCATTTTGTATGTATTACTTTTATATACATTTGATTATGTACAGGCAATGTGAACTAGAAAAATTATATAATGCATATTTATTCCAAATTTTTTAATTTTGATGTTTTTGAGAATATACACCACAAAACAGACACCAATCAGCAATTTCTGGACCTGCAATTTAATGACATCAATCATGCTAATCAAGTTGTGCAACCTTTCTCATTATTTTTCAGAGTTGTTTCTCCCTCATTAACACACCTTCCTCTCATTAACCAAAACCTGCCCTCCCGCCCCCGGAAGTGTCCATCTAGATTTTAAGTTACTGTTGCTAATTTGACCTCCTGTAAAAACCCACAGGTATCAAGTCAGTTCCAGCTCCTTTAGAAGCTCCCAGAGCTTGAGTTTCCCAGAGCATATATAAGATACATGCTTTTCTGATCTTGTGATGTAAGTGAGGTCATGCACTATTTGTCCTATTGACTTTGTTCATTCAGCTTGATGCCTCGCACGCTATCCGTGATGTTGTTGTTATTGCTGTTGGTAGCTGTTAGTCAGCTCTAACCCATAATGATCGTGTGCATAATAGAAACAAATACTGCACGGTCCTGCACCATGCTCACAATTGTTCCTAGGCCTGAGGTTATTGATGCAGCCACTGTGTCCATCCATCTCATCAAGGGCCTTCCTCTTTACCACACACGCCCTTCTCCAGGGACAGGTCTCTCCGGACGGTATACCCAAAGCATGTAAGACAAAGTCTTGCTGTCCTTGCCTCTGAGAAGCACTCTGGCCTTACTTCTTCCAAGACAGATAGATTTTTCCTCTTAGCAGACCAAGGTACTTTCAACAGGCTTCTCCAGCACCACAATTCAAACGTATTGACTTTTCTTTGGTCTTGTTTATTCCATGTCCAACTTTCCCATGCATGTGATGCAATGGAGAATACCATTGCTTCGGTTAGGGGTGCCTTTGTCCTCAAAGTAACATGCTTGCTCTTCAATACTCTAAAGAGGTCTTTTGTAGCAAATTTACCTAATGAAATACGTCTTTTGATCTCTCAACTGCTGCTTTCATACTGTAGCAGGATTTCATTTCTAGCGCTGGCTGAGTAGTATTTTATCATCTGTATGACCGCAATTTGCTTGTCCCTTCATTGGCTGATGGGCGTTTAGCTTGTTTCCGTCTTCTGACAGCCCTGAAGAGTGATGCCATGAATGTTGGTGTGCGAGTATATTTTTGAATAGGCAATATATTTTAACAATCACACTTATTTGTGATATTGTGAAGGGTTTTGCTTTCCTTATGTTGAGATGTGATCTGTACTGAAGCTGCAGTCTTTGACCTTCCTCAGTAAGCGGTTCAGGTTATCTTCATTTTCAGCAAGCAAGGTTGTGGCATCATCATATCCTTGTTGTTAATGACTTTCCTTCCAATCCTGATGCCGTGTGCATATAGTCCAGGTTCTCAGATGATTTTCTCAGCATACAAAGAATATATAATGAAAATATAGAACCCTAATGCAGACCGTTACTGCTCTGACACCAGGCAATATCCCTTAGTTTGGGTTGAAGGACTGCCTGATCTATATTTCAGGTTTCACATGAGCAGGTTCTGGAAATCCCATTCTTCATAATGTTATCCATATGTTTACGGACCTCTGCTATGTTAGCCACCATCAAATCTACAAAACTGAGGTGAACATCCTTCTGGAATTCTCTGCTTTCACTCAAGGTCCACCTGACATCAGCCATGATACTCTTTATTCCAGGGCTTCTTAAGAAGCCAGCTTGACTTTCTGGAAGCTACCGATTTACTGCTACAACCAATTTAAAATTATCTTCTGCAAAATTTCACTTCTATGTGAATTTACTGATATTGTTCAGAAGTCCCACACTCTGCCAAATCTTCCCTTTTTGGAATGGGCACACATAGACAAAAATGAATCTTTTCCAGTTAGTTGATAAGGTGGCTGCTTTCTATTGCATCAATTTGTTGAAACACATCACTTGGTATTTCTTCTGTTCCTGGAGCCTTGGAAAGTACATATTCCTTGACAGAAAGCTGATAGTAGAGCATTAAAACAATACAAAAAGAAAAGTTTTTATAATAAACACACTCTTGGATTCTGTAATATTGCTTTATACCAAAAGTATTGCTAGATACCAAAATTCATCTCTGTTTCTTTTGTTTAAGGTATCCAAATGCTGCGAAGAAGTAAGAGATTATGTTGAAGAAAGATCTGGTGAAGATCCCTTAGTGAAGGGGATCCCAGAGGACAAAAATCCCTTCAAGGAGCTCAAAGGAGGGTGTATAATTTCCTGAAAATTTTGTTGGAGTTTATAGAATTAGTGACAATACTTTTTTGTTCTCATAATGTAATATACTTTAAAGCATGTGCATATAAATGTAAATGTGGAATAAAAATTGCGATGTAATCATGCAGCCCTCTTTGTTTTTATTCATTAGCACACAGTCTAATAATGATTGGCAACATTAACTGAACCTTTCTTTTCAAAGTAATTACTATGGTTTATGGAGGAGCTTATTTTGTCTGAGATTGCCAGGATATAGTTAATATTTTATGTGTCTTCACTACCCTTCAACACACAATATTCCACTCAGAAATCTCAAGTTAATATCTATTTTTCCCAGACTTTCTCTTGTTTATAGAATTAATCTATTCTTTTGATAAACCGATAACCCATTTTGGCAGGCCATGTGCCAGGACGGTATTGTTGATATTTTCTTCTCTGCTTCCCTTTTTCTCTCTCACCTTCCAGTCAAGTGGTCATGGTTTTAACATAATCTCTCCCTACATTCTTACCCAATTCTACTTGTAACTAATGCTGTGGCTTTTTCCCACAAAAGGAAACGGGATGAAGAGTTCAGACTGTGGTCACAGAGCCCGGGGAGTGTAACCAGCCCTGAAACAAAGGTTAGGAACACACATTTAAGAGTCAGAGAGTTCTGGCATTGTCATTTATTGCCTGGCTGACTTCAGACCAGTTACTTAATCTTTCTAAATCTTTGTTTCTTCCTACTATAAGATAAAGATTATAATGATGTCTTCACTTAACATTTTGAGATTAAATATGAGACTGTCATAAATATAGCAGTTACCACATTGCCAGTTATATAACGGGAGTGATAAATACTCACCACTTTTATTGTTGAGAAAGAACTACATGAAAATTCCCTAATCCTTTAAGATACACACTTTCCCATCCATCCAGATGAAAACTTCAATCCGCACGTCCTTTTTCTGTATCAGTGTGAGGGCAAGAATACAGAGAAATAGCTATCATCTGCATCATCTTTCGATCTTATCTGTTTGAATTGGATTTATGTGACCCAATTTCACCACCTTTATTTCAAAAACTACCAGGTGCTCCGGTGGCGTAATGGTGAAGCATCGGGCTGCTAAACACGACATCAGTAGTTTGAAGCCACCAGCTGCTACTAGGGCCACAAATGAAGGTTTGTAAAAAGCTATGGTCTCAGAAGCTCACAGTGGCGGTTCCACCCTGTCCTACAGGATTGCTGTGCATCAGAAGTGACTTGATCTCAGCGCATTGGGTCTGGTTTCAGTGCCAATGACTAAAGGCTTCCTGGTGACACTGCCTGGTAGGCTTTTGACTGCTAATCGAATGGAGCAGCCGCTCTGAAGGAGACCCAGGACGCCATCTGCTTCCATAAAGATTACAAAGCTATGAGGCAGAATGGACTCAATGATACTGTGTCATTTCTGTTGTCCGTGCTAATGTCTAAGAGAGATTACTTGCCTTGACGTCTATCAGATTACTCAGAAATGTGAATTAATCATCAGCTTTGAAAAGCAAAATAAGAATAATCTATTATTGGATCTGTAAGGTCAATTTTTAAAGATCATACCATGTTGGATCCTAGAGCAGGGGCCCTCCCAGTCCGATCATCGTAAACACAGTAGCTATTGAATCTTATCCTAACCGTTCGTTTGATCATCATAAATATAGTACCTGTTGAATCTTGTCCTAACCGTTCATTTGGAATGTACAAAATCAAGGTTCAGAGAAATGAGTTGACTCATTTCTTCTGGCTTTATGGCACTTAATGGCAATGGACTTGTTTTTTGTTGTTTTGTTTTGTTTCAGGGGCGGGGTGGGTGATATAAACAGTTTGCACTCAACAACTACTAATCTAGACATTAGTGGTTTGAATCCACTCAGTAGTATTACAGAAGGAAAATTCTGGAGTTCTGTTTCCCAAAAGAGAGCAGTCAAGAAAAATCACAAGGTGCTGTGCTATCCTGTAACTCACGCGCTCACAGGGAGTTTGCATCGACTCAATAGCAGCGGGCTTGGTTTGGGTCTTGTGGTTTGGTCCTGCTGATTCTAACCCCTGAAATGTCCCACTCCATCTCCTTTCAGCCTCTGGACGTCCAACTTCTCTTCTAAGGCCAAAGGAAGCTGTCTCCAGGGCCCCTCATCTGCCCATATCATTTTGTGTATCTCTTAAGTTGTTTTAAGGATGTTTGGTGGCACAGCGGTTAAAGTGACTGGCAGCTAATTAATGACTTAGTAGTTCTAATGCTTTGGCTGCTCATCTGGAGAAGAGTGTAGCAATGTGTGGCAGTCTGCATCTTTAACGATCAAGCCTCTCCGTGTACATTCATATATAACGATAGGGAAATAGATCTATGTACATATATTTATTTGTTAAATATTAAGGCAGCAGATGGACATTGGGCCTAAACTCAAGTGCTCCCTCAATGCAAGAACACTTTGTTCTGATAACCTGGAACTCTGTGATGCTCACTTTCCCTAACATGATCGCTGAAGGCAAAATGGGTACATAAGCAAATATGGTGAAGAAAGCTGATGGTGCCCAGCTATCAAAATTTATAGCGTCTGGGGTCTTAAAGGCTGGAAGATAAACAAGCGGCCATCTAGCTGAGAAGCAACATTGCCCACATGGAAGAAGCACACCAGCCTGTGTGATCATGAGGTGTCAATGGGACCAGGTATTAGGCATCAAAGACCCAAAACAAAAAATCATATCGATGTGAATGAGGGGGTGGGTGGAGTGGAGACCCAAAGCCCATCTGTAGATAATTGGATCCTGCTTCAGAAGGGTCACAAGGAAGAGACAAGCCAGTAAGGGTGCAGGATAGCACCAATGAAACACAACTTTCCTCTAGTTCTTTAATGCTTCCTCCCCCTCCACTATCATGACCCCAATTCTACCTTACAAACCCAGCTAGACCAGAGCATGTACACTGGTACAAATAAGAGCTCACAACACAGGGAATCCAGGACAGATAACCCCCTCGGGACCAATAATGAGAGTAGCGATACCAGAAGGGCATGGGGAAGATTGAGGGGGGTGGGCAGACAACAAAAAGTGGGTGAAGAGAGACAGTGGTTGTTGTAAGACATGAACAAAATAATTTATTTAGAGGGAAAAATGAGGAGCTGATACCAAGGGCTTAAGTATAAAGAAAATGTTTTGAGAATGATGATGTCAACATATGTACAAATGTGCTTGACACAATGGATATATGTATGGATTGGAGTAAGAGCTGTAAGAGCCCCCAATAAAATGATTTTTTTTTTAAAGATTAAGCCTCTGACCCTCCTTGATACCTGTTCTCATGAAGAGATAGCTGAAGATATGGGTGCTCTAGTAAAGTGTGGTGAAGAAATCAGATGGTGCTCAAATATCCGGAAGAATAGCACCTGGAGTCTTAAAGTCTTTTTCTTCAAGTAAGCAATCATCTAAGTGGCATGTCAGCTAAGTCCACGTGGGAGGAGCACACCAGCCTGGGTGATCCAAGGATTGGAAATAATAAAACAGAAGAGCAGGAGGGAATGATGCGAGAGCTTAAATTCTTAGCATCCAGTTTCCAGAAGACTGTGGGTGACAGTGCAACCCTAAAGTCCATTTGCAGGGTTATCACTTGGGTTAAGCCTCCAGTGCATCCCCTCTGACATTGGCCAGTTGTGAATAGCCTCGCCGTCAGACACAGTGCCTTGGAAAGTGTGCTAATGCAGATATAATTAGCTTAAAATTTAACATCTTATCATTTGTTCTCCCTTTTGACCAAGTTGAAATTTTGTTCTAGTTTTATTATTTTATGTTATCTTCTCAACCAAGGTTTTTTATGTTTTAGTTATTGTTATTGGGTTTTCCTTTAGATTTCTTTTTTTGTATATTTTTTTCTATATGAAATCCAGCATAGCTAAATCTATAAAGTAACTGGATTAACAATTCCTTGGGATTATGGTAAAGGAGGTGGTGGGGAAATGGGAGTTATTATTCATGAGTACAAGGAAGAAGAAAATTTTCTAAAATTGTAGTGATGATCACACGACTCTCTTCTTCATATGTTTAAATGATTGACCTGTGTGATATGTGAATTATATGTTCATAAAACTGTTCAAATTAAATTTCAAAAATGTTGGAGCTTCAGGAACCCTGTATACTACTACTCTGTGCTAAAGGTTGTTGCTCCACAGTCATGTTGTTTTTTAAGTTGCTTCAGTTATTTTACTTTCTTTTATAATTAGCATGATTGTCTTATTCTCCATAGTATATTGGAAATTTTCACACCAGAAGCTTCTATTTTGGAAGCTTCTATACCAACTGATGTGAGAAAGATGGGGCTTTCTATCCCCATAAAGAGTTACAGTCTCAGAAACCGGCAGGGACAGTTCTACCCTGTCCTAAAGGGTCACTGTGAGTCAGCATCCACTCGATGGCAATGAGTACAGCCCCTAATAAACCGCCTCTACAACATCATTGATTTAATAAAACTTTATGCAAATAAAATCAGTGAAAGACAGTAGTTAGGAGAGATTTCAATGGAATAATTCAGACTTCCTGACTAATGGTTGGTTTAACTGATGATTAAACCAACAATAGCGTTAAGAAATTCCTTTCTATCTAAAACTACAGGTTGTCAGCAGAATTCTGAATAAGATAGAAATCATAGGAAGGAAAAGAGAGAGCAGGCGATGGTTCAGGAAGAAGGAAATGAAATCATGACTTTCCTATAGTTCATGCAGCTACAGCTGGCAGTTACTGTTTTTACAGAAGTTGGTTCAGGGCCAACGATGACCAGGTTAAAGGGAATAAAGTAAAACTCCAGGAAAGCAAAAAATTGCTGTAGCACAGCTTTACCATTTGTTCCTTCCATAAAGGCTCCTGATAATGTTAATAAGAATAAGTTTTCATAAGAGGTGGTCGAAAGTGCTTGGAAAATGGAATTAAAAGATAGTGGAATTTTCCATGAACTTTTCAAAAGCCCTTTTTACATGCCCACTATTATACTTGACTTTGACTCATAGAGATCTCTAGGATATATCTTTTGAGCTACTTACACTTTGGAAGGTTTTTGTACACATAGGTGGCTTTTAGGGGGGAAAAACATTCATTTTAATTTTAAATTGGATTACTCAGATTTTAGCCAGATTTCAAAACAAAGGTAATACACTTCATAAATTCATAAAAGACTAGACTAACATGAGAAAAATAGTAAAATGACTGATGAGATGAGCAATTTCCACATGATGGCAATTAAAGTCTTAGATGAATAGATTTGATGTAAAACATTACTTTGATAGTGTGAATTAGTCGCCATTTATGAAGACTCAGGGATCCTATGAGACAAAGTAGAATTGTTCATCTTTATGGGAGCAGACAACTTTACCTGTCTCCTGGGAGGGGCTGGTGTGTTTAACTGTTGGACTTAGGGTTAGCAGCCCCATTTTGATCCTCCTCGTCTACCAGGGTTTCTTGTTGTCGTTGTCATCGTTGATAGGTGCCAACAAGTCCGCAGCAACTCCTAGCTACCCTGTGCACAACAGAGGAAACACTACCCGGCCCTGTGCCATCCTGGGTATTGTTCTTGTGTTTGGGCCCATAGGTGCAGTCCCGGTGCCAATCACCTTGTTGAAGGCCTTCCTGGGTTTGCTGCCCCTTTACTTTGCCAAGCATGATGTCCTTCTCCATGGTCTGGTCTCTCCTGAGAACATGTCCAGAATACATTCAGTGAAGCCTCACCCTCCTCAATACTAAGGAACATTCTGGCTGAATTTCTTCCCAGGAAATTGTGTTGGTTCTGGCAGTCCAAGTTACTTTCAGGATGCTTCCCCAAGACCATAATCCAGATCCATAAATTCTACTGTGGTCTTCTTATTCCAACGTCCAGCTTTCACATACCTAGCAGGTGATTACAAAGACCATGGCGCTGGCCCAGCATACCCGAGTCCTCAGAGAATGGCTGGCCCTTCAACCCTTTCAAGAGATCAGGTGCAGCAGACTTGCCCCATGCAATGTGCTATCTGAATTTTGGACGGAAGCTTCTCTGAACAACTCTAGATAACTGCCTTCAGTACTTTCTGAAAGGTGTTTCCCATATGGCTTTTTAACAACATAGCTAACAAACCAGAACGTGGAGTATATCATTTTTCCTTTTGAAAAGATTGTCGGTGTGGGTTCTAGTCAGATATTGCCTTCCCCACCCTTCTCCATGGAGAGTAGGGAGAGCCGTGGGTGTCTTCGCTGCCCCCACTGCCTCCCACCTTTCCCTGCCCCCAGAATCCTCTGCATGAGGGAGACGCTGTAGGACAGAGTAGAACTGCCCCCGGGGGTTGCTGAAACTATAACTCTACAAGAGTAGCAAGCCTCATCTTTCTCCCTCAGAGCTGCTGGTGGTTTTGAACTGCCAACTCTGATTAGCAGCCCAATTTTCACTGGCCCCCAGGGCTCCTTACATCTCCAAAGACTGTGGAAAAATTAAACCAATATGGATTTATGAGTAGTTGTCACTGAATCTGACTGGAAGTTTTCACAGGGAAGAAATTTTGGGGCCAAATTAAATTCTATTCTTATAGTTTGGAGCAGACATACTCATATTATTTACTTAATTGAGTTATTTAAACATAAGTTAAATAATATCAACTTATATTTGCTAACAATAAATAATACATTAAATAATCTTAATTATATTTAAATCATGAGTTTATTAATTTAGGCCACATTCAAATTAACAACTAATGCTAATCACTTAGTTTTTACTTGTAGCCAACTTTTTATATTTAAGCAATGAGAAAGCATAAAAGGGCAGCAGTTCTGGAAACGGATGTGGTTTTCGTCTTGGCATACGGCTTCCTAACAGGGAAAGCTTTGGCAAGTGATCTGAATTCTGCAGGCCTACAAGATCCTGGAATGTGTGGTATCCCAAACAATGAAAAAGAATTTTCTAACCATTTTTCTTTGTGAAAGTAACTGGTCATTTATAGTTACAGAAATACACTTAGCGACCGAATATATCCTGGCTGATCCTTCTCTTTCCCATGTCCCTAGATTAATAATTAGAAACTAATAAGAAAGAAAAACTCCTTCAGCGTCTCTGTCATAAATGTGTTCCAACTCGTAGAGAGCCTGTAGGGCAGGGTAGACCTGTGGAGAGCCTCGTCTTTCTCTTGCAGGGTGGCTGGTCTTCTCAAACTGCTGACTGTGTGGTTAGCAGCCCAACAAGCAACTCACTAAGCCGCCAAGGCTCTGTGAATACTCCTTACGTAGCTCATCTTTTCCTTCTGGAAAAGTTGGTGGAGCCTGTGATGAACGATGACGTAATACAAAATACAAAGTAATTTATGGGTGTTGAAGTCCCTGGGTGGGCAAACCATTTGCCTGCTACTGCCTTGGTGGCGTAGTGGATTGCAAATTGGGATGCTAATCTCAAAGTCAGCAGATAGAATCCATCAGTTGCTTTACGGGAAAAAGATGAGGTGTTCTGCTTTTCCGCCTCAGAAATCCACTGAGGCAATTCTACTCTGTACCATAGAGTCAGAATCAACTGTTTGATCCTACTCAGTAGTGCAGTGGAATAAAGGCTTGCCAATCTGCTTCCCTAACATTTAAAACCCAGTTTGACTCTGTAACACAAGGACTCTCTATGAGTTGGAACCGACTCACTCCAACTGGTTTTCAAAGGGAAAGTTCAGTTAATGCCACCGTTTGTTTTTTGCTTCATAGTCAGGAAGTTATCTCTGGAGAGAAATATTTATCTGGCTAGGAAGGGTACTGACAGACGTGCTTGATTGTTCTTCTAGTCTCTGTAACATCTATAACTTGGTTTTAATTTACAAACAAAGGGTAAGATTGTCAAGAATATAGTGCATGTTCCCACGTTCCAAGTCTAGTGCCCCTCTTGATTTTTACAATGAATACTGCCTTCCTGATATGACAAAACCAGTACCGGTCAAATTCACTGCCTCCCTCCAAAAAGCTGTTCGAATCAGAAATTCCAGAACTTTGTTGTCAAGTGTCACCCAAACACTTGAGGGGAGCCGGAGTGGAGGGCATGTGTTAAGAGCTTGAAGACCACCGCTTCCAATCTTCAATTTTATTCTTATCCTACCAGCCACTGCAAATCGGCCTCCTGACAAATGAGACCCAGTGCGGAGGCTGTCGAGACAATTATTACATGAGAGCCAAATGGCCATGCGAGTTATAAACAATACTTACAACCTGATTCTGCCTCCTAGATGCCGCCCCCCGCCCCTGTCCCACTAGTGGATAGATCTATTTTAGATGGAACAGATAGAGGCCCACAGGCACTGATGTATCTCTGAGATAAAGGGCTAGTTTCCTTTTCCCCCCGGCTTCTACGCTTACTGCACCAAATACCCTCACAACTGGGGACAAGTTATAGCCCACGTGTTTATAAAACTCTGGTAGAGGTCACCAGCCATTCTTTCCTGCTGGGCCATGTCCTCCTTTTCCTAGCTTCACAAACAAAACCAGGATGTGATTGACTGGGGACTGGGGTTGGGGACAGAGGCTCACAAACACAGTACAAGGTTTGGCTAGGGGAGCGCCAGCCCTTTGGGCCCCAACCCTGCAGGCGGGTGGCTTGCAGGCGTGGCTGGTCCTAGAGCCAGGGCTGCCGGGGCCCAGCATCCTGCGGACAGCGCCCACAGAGGGAGGCTGCTCTGGGGCTCCCCCAAACCAAACACTCAAGGCACCCCGAGAGGCAGGCTCCTGGGGTGGTGGACACTTGAGAAAAGGCCCAGGGGTTTTAGGCTCCGGCTTGTGGGCAGGGCTGACGGGAGGAAACGTCCGAGAGGAAGCGCCAGCCCAGGGGAGCCCGCTGGGGACCCCGGAGCCAGAGCAGTCACATCCCGGCGGCCGGCGGGCGGAGGTGGGCGGCGCCGCAGCGATTCCGGGAAGGGCAGTCCCTCGCTGTCCCTCCCCGCTCCAGTCCCCCGCTCTTGCCGGGCCCTGGACTTGGGGCGAAAATGCCTGCCCTGCACGTCGAAGACCTTCCAGAGAAGGAGAAACTGAAAATGGAGGTTGAACAACTTCGCAAAGAAGTCAAGCTGCAGAGACAACAGGTAACTTGCTTGTTCCAGAATCCTTTGTAAAACGAAAGGAGGCTCAGCGGATCCCGGTTCGTTAGCGCAGAACAGAACCGGCTGTCCTCTGGCAGCTTCTCTTGAAAAGGGGCTTCGGCTGTGCCTGGAAAGGGCCATTTAGATGGTCAAGGAGCGAGCAAGGATTGGGGAGTAACTTAAAGTCAAATGTCCTAAAGATTACACAGCCAAACATGGGCGGGGGGGAGGGATAAAGTATCGTGCCGTCTAAAACGCCATCAAAACCCAGTTGTGTGGCTTGCACAGCGTGATGAATGTCATCAATGCCACTGCACTGTGCAGGTTAAAAGCAGGTTGAAATTGTGTCTTAGTGTGATCGATATATATCAATAATAAATGAACTCAGTTGTAGGAAAAAGCTGGTTGCTACTTAGTTTTTTAAAAAAATCGCTTTTAATATCTGAAAGTGTAGTGTTTAAGGGTTTGAACTTCTCCAGGTTCTCCAAAGTGACTTGCAGGCAACCCACTGGGCCCAGGGGAGAAAACATAGGAATTGTTGTTAGGCATTTGTAGATCAGAGCTCCTTATAATGTCCAGTTTATAGATGGTTTATAGATTTTCAGAATTTGACAAGGACAGTGGTATTTACTTATTTATGAGTTAATAGGTTTATGTATACTAAGGTACTCATGAAAATATTTTTAGTGATAAAACTATAAAGAGAGCATAGACGTGGATTACACATTTAGTGGGAAGGGGTGGCCCATTATTAATTAGTTTCCACTGAAATTTACTAGAGTTTCTGTACGTTTTATTTCCGTTTCTAACTGGCAGTGGGGTTTTTCTTCCTTCTTTACTCGATCAGCTCATAGTCTAGGGATAAGCTTTTAAAGGAAAATTGCCTAATCTTTCCTTCACAGTAAGAAAAAAATTGAGTTGATTCTTCTTTATGATTTTAGCATTAGAAACACTGTGAAAAACAATGGAAATTAGGCAAATCTTGTTCATAAGCCCACTTGCCTTCCTGCTTAGTTGCCGTACTAAAGCCTTGAACGGCGAGAGTCTTGCTATCTGGGTGCACGTTTCAAGGGATGACTTGGCCATGCAGGCTCTTTGGAGTTCTGCCTTTGCAGCATCTCTTCAACTTAACCTTTTACTCTCAAATTCCTGCTCTTCTGAGATTTGGGAGAGCCCACTCAAACACCAGGGATCACGGCGATACCAAATATGAAATATTTCAATGTCTCAATAAGGCAATTCTATATTTCAGTATAGGCAACAGGTGGTGTGCCGGGCCACACCTAGGGCTGCTAATGGCTAGGGTCAGTAGTTCAAATCTACCCACTAGTCCCCCTGAGGGAGAAAGATGACTCAGCTGCTCCTGTAAAGGATTTCCAACCTAGGAAACGCTGGAGAGTAGTTTTGACTGGGTCCTAAAGAGTGGTGAGGAGTAGGCGTGGACTGTGAGGCAGTGAGTGGGTATAGGATGTATAGGAGGCAACAAGAGACAAGTGTCTTGGGGTTATTTTAAGTTTTAAAGTAGATATTGGACAGAGGCTTGGGCACAGCCAACTTGTGGAAGTGAAACTGATCATGCATTCACACGATCTTCCTGCATCCAGGGCACACCCTGCGGCATCTGTTTTCCCACCCTTGAGCGTAAGCAAAGGGGAAGAAACTGCTTAGCGACATGCTGAGGGCATGGAGGGAGAGGCATCTAAGTCCTAGTAACAACATTCAAACATATTTTATTGTGCCACTGAGGATTCGAATAAATACATGAACCCTGAGTCTCCGGAAGACTTTATAACCAGCCCCCAATGTAAAAGTACAGATGCAGCGATAGACCCGGTTCTGTTCTCTGGCCTGGTTATTCGGGCCTATTATTCTGCCCATAGATTGCTAAGGTTAACAACTAAGCACGGACCAAGGATATAGAACCTACAGATTGAAATCTGCCTGTAGATCCTCTTGATCACGAGAGGAAGGGCGTCAGAGGTGTAATTGTTCACGTGGGAAGGTTACAGCCTCTTTTGGAAGTCTCATGAAGGCTCTGGAAGTATAAACTCACTTTGGGGAACATGAACCTTACCAGGAGGATCTCTGGGCTGACCCCGGCCCCAGGTCATGGGTGTCTGTATCCCCAATTCTGAGAAAGTATCGAGAATGTGCACACTCTGTCTGCTGTACTGGGCAGAACATATTAACTGAAAGAACCGTCCTTGAGAAGATTTTTATTTTGCCAAAGTCGCAGCTACACCATGACACAGCAGCGTTAAATTTCAGGGTTGTCACCTCCACACTGGCATGTGAAGAGCAAGCCTTTGAGGTGTGAGATGAAAATGTTAAAAATATCTTTTTATTTAAGTTAAAATCTCATCATTTTATGATTTCCAGTTTCTTTTTTATATGTGTGCATAATGTATTCATTCAGTAGTGTGAACTTAAGATTCAAGAGTAAATAATTATATACATTCTGGGACGCCTATGCAAACATGTCTTAGAGATCATCATTAAGTTTCTTTTTAAGGTTATTAGTGCATATGACAAATTCAGTGAGAATTCTGTCCCTATTTTAAGAGGTCTCCATGGAATTTTGTTGTTGTTTCTGTAAGTCTTACTTTTAATTTATTGCTGCCGGTAGGGCTTTTATGAAGGCACAAATCCCTTTAGACCTCTTTGTTTCTCCTTCCTCACCCCACCCCCATTCTTAGACTCCGTGTACTAAAGATAAATTTAGAAAGAAACTATGTAACCCCATAGAACAGATCGACTTTATAATACATTAGGTTGCCATGAGTCAAAACGAACTCTATGACATCAGGTTGGTTTGCTTGTTTGTATGATTTATTCAGTCCTTTCTCCATTCAGACATGTTTACTTTGGTTGAAGAAACACAGCACTTTTAGGGGAGCCTAGAAATGCTTCAGATCAGTCTTTTATTATGATCAGTAACTGCATGCCGGCTGAACAGAAATTCTAAGCAGAAATACAGAATGGAACTCCGGCCTTTCCAGAGTGCTCTCTCCAATGGTTCCATCATCGTAGGGGATTCCTGAACATAGTACATATCCATAATAAGGGAGGAATTGGACCAGACACGCTTAAAAACATTTGGCTTTACTTGTTTATTAACAAGGAACATGGAACAAAAACAAGAACAATTAAAACAAAAACAAAAAACAAACTCAAACTCAAGGCCATGGGATACATTTCGACTCATAGCAGCCCTATGGATGGAGCAGAACTGCTCACTGGGGTTTCCAAGGCTCTAAACCCTTACAGGAAGAGAAAGCCTCATCTTGCTCTCACGGACAATGGATGGGGAGTCGTAAAGACTGGCATTTCCGTTAGCACCCCAACCTGTAACGCACTGCACCGCCAGGCCTCCTGGTGGAAAATTGAAGTGGGGTGTATTTTAGTTTCCAAAGTAGTATAACCTCACCACCATTGAGGTGATTCTGACTTTGAGCAACCCTGTTGAGGGCTTCAGGGACTACGGATTTTCACAGGCCCGATGGCTTCACCTTTCTCTCAGAGAGTGCCTGGTGCTTTTGAATATATGACATTGGAGTTGGCAGGCCAAGGCTCATCCAAGAGCGCCACCAGAGTTCCTTAAAACAGTACAGAGGTGTCATCATTGTATTTTAGCAGAGGATGGAAATCATGGGCAAAATGGATAGAGATTGCTGGGGGTTATCTTGGGATTCTGCAGTGCCTTTCAAAAAATGTTTTAACCTTAACCAATAGTAAGAAATACATATTATGTTGATTATTTATGTATACTCTCTGTTGCACTCTACTAATTCTATGTCATTGGAAAATAGTTCTTACTCCCAATCATATGAGCTTCACTCAAGGGCGGCGGTAACCAGGTTGCACAAGCCTCACCTAATACTTTTTCCCTCTGTTTGTTTTTGTTTTGTTCTTGCTCAAGGTGTCTAAGTGTTCTGAAGAAATAAAGAACTATATTGAAGAGCGCTCTGGGGAGGATCCCTTGGTTAAGGGAATTCCAGAAGACAAGAATCCCTTTAAAGAAAAAGGCAGCTGCATTATTTCCTAAATAACTCTGGGGAGAAACGTCATCTCTTTGGAAGGATTTGTTTGCTGTAGTTTTTCCAAATGAAACCGACAAGCCTTTTAAGAAAGGAAAAAATGAAATTTAAATGAGAGTTTCTTAAGCACCCGATAGATATGGTTATGTGCTTCTTATCTTTGCTTATTATACACCCTTCACTTTTAAGAGGCTAGGGATTATCAAATGTTCACTTATGGAAGTACAGACTTCACTGTGCATGACTCACCTCTTTCAGTATGTGCTTGATGCCTCAAATAAAGTATTGTCTCCAGAACACGAGTGTTGGCGATTTAAGAGGGCGTTCGTCATACGTTAACTTTTTATATTTCTTCCAGTCACCTTTCGAATGCTTTAGAAGTGAATCACCAAAAGATTAGATAGATAGCTTGTTAGATCAAGACTCCAGCCCAGCTTTCTTTGCTTCCAGGCTCACCTGGTTACAGCGCCAAGTCCTGACCTCTGGAATGTGCTTGATCTAATTTAATCATGAGAACGGAGTGAGTAGAATTCCTAAGAATAACATGGATACCGTCAAATGATTTGAGTGAGGAGCCAAGCCAAGCTGGGTCTCCATTGGCACAGCCCTGGTTTGCCATCGTTCAGCCCTTTGTGCAAAGTGTTGCTGCCAGTGGGAAGGAGGCCAGCAGACCATTGGAGCTCAGGCAGAGCCTCCTGCCTCCCGCAGTGCAGTGGCCCAGCCAGGCCCACCTGCTGGCGGTGAGGAGGGCAGGGTCGAATGGACTTCTGCTGTGCGGTTGACATCCGCACTTGACTTTCTGCAATTCTTTCACCAGTCTTTTCTGACAGACCCAGAGCAAAACACCGCTTTTCCTTACCCTCCGAGAGCCAAGAACACAGTGGGGAACCATAGCTCTTGTGATTTTCAGCCCACAGGTGCCACGTGCCAGAGCACGTGGCCTGCTCAGATCCCTTGGAAAAGGCTCTGGCTTTAAAGAAAAGGGCCTTTTAGTGAGCACTTATATCTCTCTCCTTTCTGTCTTTGCATTGCTCCGGGTGTGGGCCAAAGAAAGATGCAAAAATCCTTTGCTGCGTAGTCACAAACTCCTCCTGCAATTTGAAGGGCATATGCACCACGGGTGGGCCCCCAAAACACAAGAGTTTTGACTGTTTCTGAAGCCTAGAGGAAGGAGCCCTAGGTGGCATATTGGGCTACTTGCTGGGCAGACATTCGTACCTGTGAAGATTCTACAGTCTCAGAAGCCTTACAGAGCAGTTAGCTGTCATACAGGGTTGACTACGGGTCAGAGTCAACTCGTAGGCAGTGGGCAGATGTATAGATTTAACGTGTAATAAGCTGTTGATAACCCGGTGTCTGCTTAATTGCTTTGGCACCATTTATTAGAAAGGCAATATTCCTCCATTGAATTGCTTTTGCTCCTCTGCTAAAATCAGTTGAGCACGTTTGTGTAGACCTATTCTCGGGTGTTTATTCAGTCCTATGGACCTTCGGTGGTTATCATTCTACTCGTATATCTCTTTCTGCCACCTTTGCACCTACCTGGTGTTAGGTCCCATCTAATTGCTGCCAAGTCATAGTGACACTGTGTAGCCTCGCATGGAGCACCTTCCGGTCCTGCGCCCCCCTCACAATGGTTGCAGCCATTGTGTCAATCCACCTCATTGAGGGCTTGACTCTGTTTTGCTGCCTTCCTCCAAACCTGATTCCACATTCTTCTTCATACCATCTAGCTTCTCTGATCGTTTTCTCAGCATACCTTTTCAAAGTACCTGTTTATAACTTCGTTTCTTTTGCTGAATCACAGAATAAAGCATAAAAACCTCAATTGAAAAGCAGAAAAATTTTAAAGCTAGAACAAATTTAAGTAGATAATAAGGAAGATCAAATGACAGGATGCTAAATTTTAACCTACCTGCTTTTTCAATAATCCACTTTCCAATGCTTTCTGCATGCTGGCTCTTCACATTTCTGGTTCATGGGTAAAGGGTATACACCAGGGGCTTAATCCACGTGTCTTCTTCTTCTTCTTTTACCTGAAACATCTTTAAAAGTGTCAAAAGGAAGATCAAATGAAAAGAAAATACATTTTGGCCTAACAATGTCTACCATCGTTGACTTTGCAATGTTCTCTGTCTGAGGACAGAACTCTTCACGTCCCTCAACTGTCACTGGAACGGATTCACCAGAGGCTTAATCCATGTGTGGATCCTGCAAATGGATTTTGGGATTCCACTGTCCTCCATATTCTCCTCCAAATAAGATGTTCACAATTTAAGCTCTGATATCATTCCCTCCTTGAGTTTTGGATTATATTATTTACAATCCTTGGATCACACAGGCTAGTGTGCTTCTTCCATGTGAACTTTTGGCACCTCACTTAGATGGCTGCTTGTTTTAAAACAAGCCTTTAAGACCTCAGAGACATCTATTCTTTCAGAGAGCTAGGCACCATCTAATTTCCTCACCACAGTTTGCTATAGCACCCATAGCCTCAGTAATCTCTTCATGATGGTTAGCATCAAGCAGGGCCATGTAATAAGAAATAATTGTTCTTAAATTGGGGCTAGAATTAAGTGCAAGTCCCAAATCCATCCTTGCATCTATAGTTTATATATTTCTCTGGTTCACTCTAGAGTCATCATTGTCATTTTATACTCGAGAACAGTATTAATCATCCTCCTGGGCATCCCTTCTTCTGTAAGCAAGTCAATGCTGACTCATTATGATGCCAAGGGACAGGATAGAAATGCCCCTGTAAGTCTCCAAGAGAGTAATATTTTAAAATTATTCATTTCAATTTGACTCAATAAATGGAATAAGGACCTGTAAACGTGACATTTAATGAACAAATTCAGCCAATGTTTTCCTGCATTCTAGGAATTCACAGTCAAGGCAAACACGATTACATTTATCAAGTCCAGTTAATAGAGTCAACTTTATGTACAGAATGTACAGATTGAACAAGTCTGGTGAGAAGATACAACCTTGACAAATATCCTTCTTGATTTTAAATATGTCAACATGGATGTAAGGTAATGTCATAAATGATTTTATTGAGATAATAAGCCATTAGATCAGGGGACGTTAAACTTTTTCATAAAGGACTTTAAGCTTTGCAATCCACACTGTCTGAGTGGTGTCAATTTGCATGAAAAAGCAGCCATATACAATAAATGTAGACATATTTATGGTTGAGTGTGGTTATGTTCCAATAAAACTTTATTAAAGATAAAACAAAACAGGAAGCAGTCAGGGTTTGTCCCAGAGGCTGTATTTTATGGGCCTTTTCTCTAGGGTAGCATTTTCAAACTACACATCGGGATCCATTAGTGGTCTTGTTAGTAGAAGGTGATTAATATTACTATCTAAAATTTTTTTAAAAAGAAAATCTCAGTCTACATTGTAAATCACAAAAGGGTAAGTATTTTTCCCTCTCTCCTTCCCTGGACATGTGTCTGAACCCTTCCCCTTTCTTTTCCTTTCCTCAGACTTTGTTAGAGGCAATAGCACAGAGGCTTGCCTCCTGCCCCCAGAGGAAGGGTCCTGTCAAGAGCAAATCCCCAGCACCTCTGAGGAGACTCAAATCTCTAACTTCTCAATAGCAGTTATGAGCGTCAAAGTCACGTGTCAGCATGGTGGGGCCATGATTCTCGGTAGTTGGTAGATAATATGTAATCATTCTCCATTTTGTGATTCTGAAGTAAGCATCCCATCAGTTAAAAGGGTACTTCCTTTAGAGGTGTAGCCTAGATTGAGTATATGAGTGTAAGTAAATAAAGTTTATCTCCATCTATCTATCTATCTATCTATCTATCTATCTATCTATCTATCTATCTATCTATCATCTATCTATCCTCTAGTGGTTCTGATCTTCTAGAGGACCCAATCTAAGACAGTTGATTCCAAGAATGGTTTGGAGGAACAAAATCATAGGGATGGGTTTTCTGAATTTGTTCTCAAATGTAGCTTGTCTTGAGGTTCTGATAATTCTATCTCCAGTAGTAAAGAGGGCACAGCTAATTACTATATGGTATGAGATGACAATAAAAATACATAAAAGATCACCAAAAATGGGATAAATATTTGTGAGAAACAAGACCTCAGGGACTTGTTTGAAATATTTTACAACTTTTTCAGAATTACAAATATAAAGAATCTGATCATTTGACAACGTTTTGAAGGAATGGGATCAGTTACAGCTCAAACACTACACTCCAGACCTGAGAGTTGCTTTTGTGTCCTGGGGGGGAAAAGCCTTTTTAAAATCGTAGCAGAACTGATATTGCTGTAAACCAAACTCAGAGTCTAATTGTAAGAGGGACTGAATTATACTGCCAATTGAATTCCCAAAATCTTATGGTATTTGAAGTACAAGTGAAGGCATTGATTGGTGAAAAGAGGATCCTGAGACTTGGAATGGGGACATATGGGCAGATAATTAGAACTCTGGGGACATGGAATCCCTAAATTCTATTGAATCACTCCTGCCAACAGAACCAGCTCTCTGACTCTCATCTTAAGAAATCACTCCATCATTTTCAGGTAAACCACCTTCCCCCTTCCACCCCTCTCTAATGAGATGAATCTGGCTGTGGAGGCAGAGTCTTTGCCTGAGATATCGCTGTGGGCAGTGATGGGGCATCACCAGAGACAGGTGTCTCACTGGATATAGCAGAATGTCCCCAGGAACCACCTCCACTACTTATTTGTGCATCTAAACCTGTAAGTAGATGAAAGCCCCAAGAAGTAAGATCTAAAGTGTGACCCAGAAGGAGGTACGTTACACTACAAATAGCTACTTAAAGTTTTTTTTTAATATGCACAAACAGAAACCTGAGGAAAATGAGTGGGAATGGCTATGAAGAGTGTGAGATAGTGCAGGAAACATAAAGATGGATGGGTATGAGTTTATTGATATGGGCCCAATAAGCACAGATTCTCCATTCAGTGTCCCAGCCAGAGAGGTTAGAATGGATTAAGCGTTTGCCTACACTAAATCAACTTGGAGTGCCAGACCTACATTGATTATACTATAGAAGAAGTCATCAGAAGCTTAGGGGAAATGTGGCAAAAGAGTGGATTTATCAGGTTAAATCCAGGGAGTACCCCGAAGATGTGCCCTTTACCACAATAGTGAGGAATACATTTGTGAAGGAAGTCTCAGCGTACTTGAACTGTCATTCCTATTTTATGTAAGTCAGGTTTGACAGTGAAGATTCTAGGAACTGAATCAAGGCACCTACCATGCCTCCTATGCATGTCAGAGTTGGATATTGAATAAAGAAGAGCGGAGA